AAATATCCAAAATAAACGTCAAAAAAAATAAATCACAAAGTCTCCGTAAACAAAACTGTTCTTCAAAAATCAGGCTAGTTGAGACAAAAACACCAGACTGGAGTCTTTCATCATCCAGTTTTCAGTACAGAGAAAAGAGAAATTAGCTTGTTTTAATTTATCATTAATTGATTTACTGCTTTCTGTGACAGGCCTACCCAGAGCAGCTGTCATCATTTTGTGAGATCGGCTTCCAGACGGTCGCTTTACACCCGTCCTCCTTCAGAACCGGCAGTACGAAACAGGACAGTACTGTCCGGATCACCAGAAGAAAACAAAAAAAAACAAAAAAACTGTAATACTAACATCAAACCTCATGAGCTTTCTGCCACCAAGTCACTTAAACAGGCTCTGCTAAATATAAGATAATTAAAAGAACTATTAGTTACTTACTTCATCACTGAGCATAATGTTGATTTCTACTAAGATAGTTGCAGCAGAAACTAGACCAAAAATACTTGGTAAGATTTTGTGTTTTTGCAGTGCAGTTTTAAGGATGTTTTGTGCTTCTTGTAAATCCGTAAAATGTAGGTTAACGACTATTGGTTATTGATAGAAAAGGCTTAAAGAGATGCATTCATTGGTAATAAAGACTCGGATGACGGAGAACTTTGAACTGAGGATTTGTGGTGAGCTGAACGGGAACCCAAACCACTTTCTCTCTTGGCTTTAGGTGCTTTTGTTATCGATTTATTGCGCATAAATGTTCTCTTCAAGTGCTCTCAGGATTGTAGTTGGAGCCATTTAAATACTTTAGTGGGATTTTCTTGTGTGGGGAGAAATAAGCACTCTATTAGAAGAGTCAAGGATATAATTTGAAATATTAAAACTAATTGATCTTTGAGTTGAGACGGATTTTGTTGAGTAAAGCAGGCAGTTGACTGACGCATTCCTGGTTATTTTGTGGCTGTGAATCAATACAAATATCTTCTGTTTGTTTTTGTTTTGTTTTCCGTTTTGTAAAACTGAATGATCAGAAATGTATTTACACACCATATAAAGATGATAAAATCTTGATTTCTGGAAGTTAATTAGCTTCTCATAACGACTCCCAGGTTTTTAAAATTAGTTGCCTTATGCTTCCCTTAAGGATTTACAGTAAATGTTGCTGCCATTGTTGGAGAAAACGATCTGAGTGACTTTATTTTGCCTGTCATGACTCACTTCCTCTCTGAGTTGGGACCCACATGGATGTCAGTGTTGGTCGGATGCCCTTGGAGATGAAGCCTAGATATCAGAATAATGCCTTGATGCCTTTTTGTTGTCTTCCTTATGGGAGGCTTATGATGTACATATTAACCTGTATTTATAAATAAACTAACAAACACCAACTTTTTGTGTCTGTTCTTTGCCCTGAAGTTGTTGGATTCTTTAACCATACATCTAAAAGTATTAGAATATCAATAAAAGTTTAATTAACCGTCTAATTCAGTGGCACAAATGTCACAAAGTTGAAAAGCCATCCTGTTTTTCCAAATTAAAATGCAAATTATTGCAATTATTTTTATTCTATTCAGCAATAAAATAAACATGCAATATTTTTTAATGAAGCAAAGTGGCA